AAACACCATCTGACACAACAGAAACAATCTCAGTGTCCAGCTCAACAGATGCTGAAGCTAGAAGAGATCAGACAACTGAGACATATAGTAGAGAACCTGTTTCCTTAATTGTCTCTACGTTTTCATCACTGAGCACTGGGGACTCAACAGGAGAAACCGTTACAAGTAAAGATGTTACATCTCATACAGAAGCAACCACATCTACTATGATGGAGGACACATATCTCTCAGCAAAACCATCTGAATCCACCATCATTAATGTTTCAGAAACTCTGTTCTCATCTGCTCAGACTGGACATTTAGATGAAACATTGTCTGAAAGCACTGTTATAAACGTCTTGGAGAAGACAACTGCCAAAGATGGGCTGTCACCTTCAGGTTTTTCTTCAAGCTTGACGTCCATGGAATCTGAAGCTTCAGGAGATGACACCTCTGATTTGTTTAGCAAAGAGTTCACAACAACAAGTTCTTCACTTTATACTCCAAACAAATCAGAACAAGAAACACCATCTGACACAACAGAAACAATCTCAGTGTCCAGCTCAACAGATGCTGAAGCTAGAAGAGATCAGACAACTGAGACATATAGTAGAGAACCTGTTTCCTTAATTGTCTCTACGTTTTCATCACTGAGCACTGGGGACTCAACAGGAGAAACCGTTACAAGTAAAGATGTTACATCTCATACAGAAGCAACCACATCTACTATGATGGAGGACACATATCTCTCAGCAAAACCATCTGAATCCACCATCATTAATGTTTCAGAAACTCTGTTCTCATCTGCTCAGACTGGACATTTAGATGAAACATTGTCTGAAAGCACTGTTATAAACGTCTTGGAGAAGACAACTGCCAAAGATGGGCTGTCACCTTCAGGTTTTTCTTCAAGCTTGACGTCCATGGAATCTGAAGCTTCAGGAGATGACACCTCTGATTTGTTTAGCAAAGAGTTCACAACAACAAGTTCTTCACTTTATACTCCAAACAAATCAGAACAAGAAACACCATCTGACACAACAGAAACAATCTCAGTGTCCAGCTCAACAGATGCTGAAGGTACAAGATATCAGACAACTGAGACACATAGTAGAGAGCCTGTTTCCTCTCTTGACTCTACTGTAACTACTGCTGTACATACATTTTCATCACTGAGCACTGGGGACTCAACAGGAGAAACTGTTACTAGTAAAGATGTTGCATCTCATACAGCCACAACCACAGCTACTCTGATAGAGGACAAAGATCTGCTAGGAAAACCATCTGATTCCACCATCATTAATGTTTCAGACACTCTGTTCTCCTCTCCTCAGACTGAACATTTAGACGAGACATTATTTGAAAGTACTGTTTCAATGACCTTGGAGAAGACAACTGCCAACGATCTACTGTCACCAGCAAGTTTTTCTTCAAGTTTACCATCTACAGAATCTGAAGCTTCTGGAGATGAGACCTCTGATATGTTCATCAAAGAGTTCACGCCGGCAAGTTCTTCTCTTTATACTCCAACCAAATCAGATAATGAACGTAATAAAACATCGTCTGACATGACAGGAATACTCTCAGTGTCCAGCTCAACAGATGCTGAAGCTTCAAGAAATCAGACAACTGAAACACATAGTAGAGAAACTGTAACTAGTGCTGTACATACATTTTCATCACTGAGGGCTGGGGACTCAACAGGAGAAACAGTTACAAGTAAAGATATTACATCACATATAACAACAACCACAGCTACTATGAACGAGGACAAAGATCTGTCAGCAAAACCATCTGAATCCACCATTATTAATGTTTCAGAGACTCTGTTCTCATCTGCTCAGACTGGACATTTAGATGAAACATTGTCTGAAAGCACTGTTACAATGGTCTTGGAGAAGACAACTGGCAAAGATGGGCTGTCACCTTCAAGTTTTTCTTCAAGCTTGATGTCCATGGGGTCCGAAGCTTCAGGAGATGACACCTCTGATTTGTTTAGCAAAGAGTTCACAACAACAAGTTCTTCACTTAATGCTCCAAACAAATCAGAACAAGAAATACCCTCTGACACAACAGAAACAATCTCAGTGTCCAGCTCAACAGATGCTGAATTTACAAGATATCAGACAACTGAGACACATAGTAGAGAGCCTGTTTCCTCTCTTGACTCTACCGTAACTACTGCTGTACATACATTTTCATCACTGAGCACTGGGGACTCAACAGGAGAAACTATTACTAGTAAAGATTTTGCATCTCATACAGCAACAACCACAGCTACTCTGATAGAGGACAAAGATCTGCTAGGAAAACCATCTGAATCCACCATAATTAATGTTTCAGACACTCTGTTATCCTCTCTTCAGACTGAACAGTTAGACAAGACATTGTCTGAAAGCACTGTTACAATGACCTTGGAAAAGACAACTGCCAAAGATCTACTGTCACCATCAAGTTTTTCTTCAGGTTTACCATCTACAGAATCTGAAGCTTCAGGAGATGAGACCTCTGATATGTTCATCAAAGAGTTCACAACGACAAGGTCTGTCAGCCAAATCATCTGAATCCACCATTATTAATGTTTCAGAGACTCTGTTCTCACCTGCTCAGACTGGACATTTAGATGAAACATTGTCTGAAAGCACTGTTACAATGATCTTGGAGGAGACAACTGCCAAAGATCTACTGCCACCAACAGGTTTTTCTTCTAGTTTATCATCTACTGAGTCTGAAGCTTCTGGAGATGACACCTCTGATATGTTTAGCAAAGAGTTCACAACAACAAGTTCTTCACTTTATACTCCAACCAAATCAGACTATGAACTTACCAAAACGTCATCTGATATGACAGAAAAAATCTCAGTGTCCAGCTCAACAGATGCTCAAGCTACAAGAGATCAGACAACTGAGACACAAAGTAGAGAAACTGTAACTAGTGCTGCACATACATTTTCATCACCGAGCACTGGGGACTTAACAGGAGAAACGGTTACAAGTAAAGACGTTACATCTCATACAGCAATAACCATTGGTGCTATGATGGAAGATGTTACATCTCATACAACAGCATCCACTGCTAGGAAAGATCTGTCAGCAAAACCATCTGAATCCACCATCATTAATGTTTCAGAGACTCTGTTCTCCTCTTCTCAGATGGGACATTTAGACGAGACATTAACTGAAAGCACTGTTACAATGACTGTGGAGAAGACAACTGCCAAAAATCTACTGTCACCATCAAGTTTTTCTTCTAGTTTACCATCTACAGAGTCTGATGTTTCAGGAGATGACACTTCTGATATGTTTAGCAAAGAGTTCATAACTACAAGTTCTTTATTTTATACTCCAACCAAATCAGACCAAGTACTTACCAAAACACCATCTGACACAACAGAAACAATCTCAGTTTCCAGCACAACAGATGCTGAAGCTATAAGAGATCAGACAACTGAGACACATAGTAGAGAAACTGTTTCCTCTCTTGACTCTATTGTAACTAGTGCTGTACATACATTTTCATCACTGAGCACTGGGGACTTAACAGAAGAAACAGTTACAAGTAAAAATGTTACATCAAATATAGCAACAACCGGAGCTACTCTGATGATGGACAAATATCTCTCAGCAAAACCATCTGAATCCACCAACATACATTTTTCAGAGACACTGTTCTCCTCTGCTCAGACCGGACATTTAAATGAGATGTCTGAAAGCACAGTCACAATGACCTCAGACCTCAAAGATGTCCTTTTACCATCAACTGTTTCTTCAAACTTGTCATCAACTGAGTTTGAAGGTTCAGGAGGTGAGACCTCTGAAATGTTTAGCAAAGAGTTCACAACCAGTTACTCATATTATGTTTCAAACAAATCAAATGAACAACTCACCAAAACACCATATAACACAACAGAAGCAGCTTCAAAGTCTAGTTCAACAGATGCTGCTTTCACAAGCATAATACCACCAAAGGAGATAACATCCAATGATTTTGTTTCAATGTCAAGTTTTACTTCAGTTTTGCCATCTTCAGGGTATAATGGTTCAGTAGCTGAGCCCTCTCATATGTTTAGTAAAGTGTTCACAACAAGTTCTTCACTTCAAATTACAACCAAATCAGACAATGAAATCACAAGTACTACAGCACAAAAAATGAAAGCTTCTATGAAAATGCAAACAGAACAAACTACCACACAGACCCTTTCTACAGTACCTGCTATAGACCTGACCAGTACAAGCTCAATGTGGACCTCAACTGATACAGATATCCCAAGAATAAAGCCAACAGAGAGACATCAAACAGAATCCGTTTCTTATTTTGTCGCTAATATCTCAGAAGAAACAGTTCAGCAAGAGGTTTCCAGTGATGAAGACAGAATTACACTGACAACTAAAGCATATGATAATTATATTGTAGCCACTGATGAGGCAGAAATTCACGAGACTGGCCAAACATCAGAGCCAATGAGACCTGCAAGTTCTTCACATTCCACTTCATCAACAAATGAATTGTTTTCAAGCACAGTGCAAACAGTAGATACAGACTCATCTTCTGAACAAGGTAGTGGAGACATTTCAGAAAATGAAGTGGCTGAAGATGATGGCTCTGGTGAAATATCCTCTGCTGTTGTAGAATCAATACCTCGCCATGTTGCACCATCAGAGGACAAGACAACTGCTGTTGGTTTTGAGTCAACTCCTGCTTCTGGAGTGCATCCATCAGAAAATGTGACAGCAACAATAGATGTTACAACAACTGTGAGTGGAAAAGCTATACCAAGCTCATTTTTTACTCTCACAGAGGTAGAAGGTTCTGGTCAGCAGACACCAGAGATGTTCACCACAGCTCCCTCATCTATGATCACAAGTCAAGAGGTCATGACACCTCAAAGAGAGATTGTCTCTTCAATGACTGAATTTTCCATGATTAGTCACACAACTAAAGAAACCAGCACCGACCTTACAACAGAATCAGTTAGATCAAGTTATACAACAACAGAGCCTGTTAGTTCAAGACTCACCTCAGTGTCTTCTAGACCTTCTCATACTATTACCGAATTACAGTTGACTAAACACACCACAGAATCAATTATTAGTCCTACTGCAATTGGATCAGGTAAACCTAGTCTCACATCAGTGGCAACAGTTGAATCTGACCACACTGCACCTTCAGTTATTCAAACGATGCCTGGTCCTTTTAAGCACATCCAAATATCAACAGTCACTGCTAGTTATGAAGCAACTTCAGCTCTTCTCAGGACAAAAACTATGTTTACATCTTCAAGTAAAAGCCAAACCAAGCACACAACAATTTCATCTGATGCAGAGGATGATACAACAGATGATGAAGGATCAGGGGTGTCCCCTGTCATGCATGTTTCATCATCGGCCATCAAAACTCAGACTGGTTTTCAGTCACCAGGTCACCAAACAGTGGAACAAGTAGTTCAGAGAAAAGCACACCTGGAGAGGTAAACAACATATTATCTGATAAGCATCACACCACAGCAAGACTTTCTGATGTCACAGCTAAACCAAGTTCCACTGCTACAAGTGAAGAAAAACTATTGGAAGAAAGAGTTGAGCATACAACCCAATCCAAACAAAATTATACAGGATTCAAGACCACCACACAACCTCAATATGATGGTTCTGTAACGTCCAGTAGTTTGAAGAGCAGCTCAGAGAATGATTCAGTTGTCATCCCATCATCTGATGAGGTTCAGGTAGTAATTTTGTCTACTGCAACAGCCTCACCTTTTCTTCTGACACCTGAGTCTGATATAAAGATTGTCAGTAAGGAAACTGCCTCAAGGAAACAAGAAGCAGCTGGTCAGATTGAGGAAGCTGTAACTCTTACAACTGAGATTCCAATTCAAGAAGAAGATCAGATGACATCATCAGTACCTGCAACACCATTTTCCTCCCATGAAGACATTTCTGAGGCCACTTTGGTTAAAAGCTCACCTCCAAGTGGACAGAATGAAAGCACAACACACAGTACAGCAGACCTTCCATACGCAATGATCGGACAGACATTTGATATTCCAGGTAGGTTGTAAACACTGTTTTAAAGACCAAATTAACTGAATGCATATACTGTACTTTCAGTAGTTATACCAGTATTCTTGTTTTGCACGTGCACAATGACATGCCTCTATATCTTCCCTCTCTCACTGCAGATGTTCATTCCTGTTCTGATGCTGTTTGCTTGAATGGTGGTTCTTGTGTAAAAATAGTCGGTGCTCAGATCTGCAGCTGTCCACCTGGATACAGTGGTGACCAGTGTGAAATAGGTATCAGTGTTTCATTCTTTTTATTAAAGGTGCACTACAGAACTTTGAGCTCAATATTGCCATCTGTGGCGAAACATAAAATTTAAAAGTTACTTGACATATTTTGCATGAGCTATGCTTCGCACTGCTGTTCTGCGTGGATGAATTTGATCATTTGAGCAATGAAGTAGCATATCTGATGCTATAGTACCAGATCTTCTTTACTCTGTTCATGGAAATGATGTAACTATACCAAGATTGACTCAGATTGTAAGTGTAAGTGGTTTAGTCTCAGAGTGTAAGTGCTCAGACATAGCTACTCACAGAGAAAGCAGAAAGGCAGAAAATGCTGCTAAATGCAATCTATGCTAAATGAAGTAACATGTCATTATTTAAAGTCATAAGCCAACATAGCTTCATGTATTGTCACTTGTATTTGTTATGGATGATTTAATGCTTGATATATTAATGAGAGTTTTAATAGTTTTATTCTTTGGTAGCTGTAATTTATTCTTTGTTGCAGTAGTGACACATTAGAACCTGACATTTCCCCTCCTGCATGTTAATTTGCAGGTTTATTAACATGCACTAACATTAGTGGTTCTGTCAGGGCAAGTCTGCTATAATCACAGTGATTTCAAATAAGGAATCAAAGCTTTCAGCTTGATGTCAAACAGCCCTGGGTTTGTCCACAAACAGTCAGTAAGTGTGTTTACAAGCACTTTAAAGGTTTGATTTCAGTTGGACTAAAACAATAATTTGTCTTTTTAAAATATCATGTGAGTCTGACTGAAGTTGTACAAGCAGACTGTAGCAAAAAAAAAACAGCTTTATCTTGATTGTAACGGCGCACATAAACATACTTGCTGTGACTGATAGGACACACTTTATTTGCAAATTTAATGTGATCATAGTATCAAATGCTGATCTAGGTACTTTAAATCATTTGTCAACTAGACTAATAAATTGCTGGGTTCATAATATGCTTACTTTAAAACTTTGAGTTTCCCAAATGGTTACAGCCATATAAGTGGCTGTTTGTTTTTACAGGTCAGCTTTGCTCCAATACCTCTTTCTTAAACAATGCCTCAGAGCAAGGCACCCAATCTGTAGACATTCTTATGCAGAAATGAATTGGCTTCCAGATATGATAGACACATGGGTGTAGCTCTTGCTCTAAGTGATCTTGTTTAGCTGACATGTAATTTAAAATGAGGATGAAAGGGAGTTATAACATGGTCCCTCAGGTCCAGTGTGAGTGGGAAATCATTCTTACTTGAAAAGAGTGCCACTGAACAAAAAAAAAGGTTTGATTTATTGTACTGATAACAGCCTCACAGTGTAAGCCCAAAGGTAAAGGACTAATACAAATAAATTGACCGTAGACAATATCAAGCACCTTTTTTCACTTACAGCAACAGTATTATCTCAGTTTCAGTGTCTACATGTCAAGTTTATGTGTAGTACATCAACAATAATTCACACATGATTTTCTACAGACACTGAAACATGCAGCTATGGCTGGCACAAGTTCCAGGGCCACTGCTATAAATTCTTTCCTCATCGGCGTAACTGGGACACAGCAGAGCGTGAATGTCGCCTCCAGGGGGCACACCTGGCTAGTGTCCTGTCCCATGAGGAGCAGCAGTACACCAACCGTGAGTATACATAAACCAAGTTATGGTCATTCTGTCTAATATCATCAGCTCTAACTTATGCCATTGATTACATCTACATGCAAACTAACAGTTATTATTAGGAAGGATACTGTTTTGTTTCCATTTTTTTTCATTTAGTTTTTTGTTTTACTTCTCACTACAAAAGTGTTTAGAGTTATGGAATATTCCATTGGCTCAGGAATTTTTAGCCAAAGAGTTTAAAGAAAGGTTAGTATATCACCAATAAAAAATGGCCAAATGCTCATCCAGCCCTAGATGCAGGAAGTGTGATGTACAAGAACAAATATGCCCTTTATTTTTAACCACTGACAAAGAGTTCCCAATATGTCTGATGAATTGACCTTTGTTTCTCTCTCCCCTTGTAGGCCTCGCCCATGACTACCAGTGGATCGGTTTGAATGATAAGATGTTTGAGAATGATTTCCGGTGGACGGATGGTAGTGTTGTGGTAAGACCATTCTTCAAAACTTGCTTATTAATTTCTCAAAGTATGTTTTGGCAAGATGGTGTTGATACACACATCTATTAGTGGACAATGTAGATGCAATATTTATAATATTTATTTATAAAGGTTGCTTGTATTATCCATGATTCTTGCAGATTTTTTTTCTTTAAAAAGCAATTCATTTAAATAAGATTTGGAATTTTTTGCAAGAATTTGTAGATGTGAAAAAAGGAAAACAGGAGACATATGTCACTATCTCCCTGGTTCTAGAGGTGTTCCTCAATTGAACAGGAATGTGGCTAATTACAGCCGTTTAGTCCTGACCAGGCTCTCACTTCAAAGATAAAGGCAGCATTTTGTGGGGAAGGGCCAGAAAGCCCTGGAGGGCAGTAGATAGGAGTTTTCATCTGTGGAAGTCATCTCAGGACTGGAGGATCAAAATAAAACGAGGATAGAGGAAGGTCACAGGTGTGGACAGGTAATGGAGGTGTGAAGGATGAGCAGCTGGAACAGGCTGCACTAGATATAATCCAGACCTAAAATGTGAGTGTGTGACAGTTCAATCCAGTTGGCATCAGTGAGGGGCTATATACATGTCCACAGAGTTTGCAAGCACTCATATAGTATTCTGTATACAGAAGAGTTACTAAATTAAGAGTTTATGTTTGTTAATGTATTTAAGTATGTGACGTTGGAGTTATCCAGAGGGTAAAAAATTGCCATCATCAATTTCATCAATTTTCAAGCAGGAAGTGCACATTCCTTTTGAAAGAGGATAATAACAGGACTTGTTGGCTGATTTGTGTTTGAAGACTAGGCAATATTTAAAGGGTTGCTGAAAGACCAGAGCGCCAACCTGTCTCGATTGGGTATAATTACTTAATGTTTCATATATGTGCAAACTTCAGTTTTAATTTAAGTAACAACAACAACAAAAAAAACAGATATAGAAGACTGCCAATAAACATTTAATTCATATTATTATGGTTAAAGCAATATACTGTACAAGTTGAGCTCAACATAGTAAGTGTATTATTAGTTACTTTCTTTATGGGTTGGTCTTTTCAATTGTTATTCTCCTTTGAGTGCATACGTCCACAGTTGAGAGAGATGACTGATGACATCATGCCTGCATCATGTGGTGTGTGCAAGGGGGAAATACAGTGAATAAAGTTTGTCCGTGGTAGTTGAATATAGATGTATTACTATAAGTATACTATAACTACTACCTTCCAAATGCATAACACCACTCCCTGCAGCTCATTGCAGTTTAATGTTGATGTATGTACTTAGCGCCTTCTACTGGAGTGTGCCTGTATCCTTATTATTTTATTGACTTTCTGTACTCCATACATAGAAAGTCATACTCTGTTTATAAGCTTCCCACTTTGTTACATTTGTGGTGTTCTCGATTAAAAATTACTGCCCTACAAAAATTGCTTATAAATTTCTTGTTATGCTATATTATTACCAAATTGTGGATTTAATCTTTTTATCAACTTGTTTTCTTTCAATTAGCATAGGTTTTGTATTTCTTTTTTGGAACTGATTGATTGTAGACCTCATTAACCTGAGCTTATGCACCTCAATTTTTGAGTGAACATTGCCAAGATCCAAGAAGAAAAACAAATCACATGCTAACTGAATGAAAACAAGTTGACAAAAAAAAAAGAAAAGAAAAGAAAAAAAGAATGATAATATAACATAATAAGAGATTGACAAGCTATTTTTTTTAATGAAAATGTGCCTTCATAAATTTTCTTAAAATCCAAATGTAGATGAGCTATAATAGTGCAACTGCCATAAATATTATATAATTCAGTATGATTCTTCAAGTTCACAAGAACCACAAATGTATGCAGACATCCTGTTGCTTACTGAACAAATGAGAAACCATACATATGGATGTAAAAGAATATGTAAAGCACAAGCAGTATATTGCTGTTTTGAGCCAGGTACAATTTCTTTTAAACACTCCAAAAATACACTGCCATAACTCAAAGTGTATCATAACCATAAACCCTGTTTTAAATTAATACAATAATTTATACTCCTGACTCGTCTCATTTCTTAAAAAAATGGTTTAAAAACTGAAATGTGAGGTTTATCAATTTAGATCTATTTCTTTTTTTTCTATTTTTTTGTGAGAACCTGAATCTCTACTGTAATTAAATCATGTGTTTACAGTAATTTTACAGTTTAATATGTTACCATAGACATTGCCCTACCCTGCTCATATGGTATTAATAAAAAAAAAAAAAAAATTTAAGGTTTTAAAAAGTCCTACAGACAACAGCATTGCACTCTGCCTGCATCTAGAATTATTTAGATCAGCATTTTAGTGTTCATAACAGAGGGCTCTCTCAACTTGTTATATTTTACATAATTTGTCAATTGATATAATTGTTAATTGTTACAATATAATTACAAAATAATTGTTAATTGATTTTGTACGCTTTGCATACACATGTGAGCACCCCTCAAAAGCCTGAAACCACAGAGCCACCCCACATAACAAATACCAATTTAACCCCTAATCATAATCATATAATTAATATAACATATCTGAAACTTATTTCTATAGGATTATTGTCTTCCTCTCATTGCCATTCTCATCTCTATCCATATTCTTCCCCTGCAGCAATATGAAAACTGGAGACCAAACCAGCCGGACAGTTTCTTTTCCTCAGGAGAGGATTGTGTGGTAATGATCTGGCATGAGGACGGCCAGTGGAATGATGTTCCCTGCAACTACCACCTCACCTTCACCTGCAAGAAAGGCACAGGTGAGCTTTTAGCACCTGAATGAGGGGTATTTAAAGAATAATGAGTCATGCATACAGTAGGTAGACATTTATTTTCAGTTTAAATGCCATCTGTGGTATTTGAACAAAAATATATTTATAACAAGGAGTACAATGGGGAATCTGTGAAACCTTGACTGCTATACCCTAATATACTGTATATCTATGGTCGTTTATAGACAGGAATCTAACATGTGATGAGTTGTTTTGGATTTTTCTGCAGTGGTTTAAAGCAGACAAAATTAAAAAAAAAAAAACATTTCAGATTCAGTACTCCATTACTAATTGTTACTCTGTTATGTGCCATTGTCAACAGTGTCCTGCAGTCAGCCGCCTCTTGTCCTTAACACCCGCACATTTGGCCTGCTGCGCCCACGCTATGAGATCAACTCACTGATCAGGTACCAGTGCATGGATGGCTTCATCCAGAGACATGTTCCCACCATTCGCTGCAGAGGAGACGGCACATGGGATTTGCCAAGGATTTCCTGCATGAGTCGTAAGTATTCTGTGAAAACCCAACACAACTTTTTCACAACAACCATCCCTATAGAGCTTGAATTATCATTCTGGCCTAGATACTATAAACAATACAGTGGTGTGAGTTTATTATATATATGAGTTTATATATACACTACCATTCAAAGGTTTGGGGTCGGTATGCTCTTATGCTCACCAAGGCAGCACTTGATTGAAAATACAGTAAAAACAGTAAGATTATGAAATATTATTACTAATATTATAATTTAAAATAAATGTTTTCTGTTTTAATATATTTTGAAATGTAATTTATTCCTCTGATGGCAAAGCTGAATTGCTTTAGTCTTCAGTGTCACATGATCCTTCAAAAATCATTCTAATATGTTATTTTGGTGCTCAAGCAGCTTATTATCATCAATGTTGAAAACTGTTGTGCAGCTTAATATTTTTGTGGGGGAAAAAAACCTTACTGACCCCAAACTTTAAAACAGTTGTGTACTGTACAGTATATATTCTTATAGATTCAAATGGCTTAGTTCTAATTTAATTTAATGTACTTATATTTCCTTTCCAGCCTCCAACTTCCAAAGGTCATATGCAAGGTATCACAGAGTATCACAGACTTACAGAGTTTTTCGCAGTCACCGGAAGAGATCAGCAGAAACTTCTGTTGATGTTCCCCGACGACACCATCGCCATGGTGTAAAACACAAACAGTTGCTATGGTAACACCACCCTAACGCAAGGACCCTTTTAATATTTTTTGATAGCATAAGACAGATCTGCCTGCTGGCTGAGAGAAAAGATTATAAAAGAATAGATTATGAAAAGGACCAGAAAAAGGGTCAACACAGAGTGGAGTATCACTGGAATGAAACAGTGGCTTTTATCTTTTAAGAGAGATGGTTTTTAAGAACTACATAATGGACACATATTCAGCTGACCTCTGAAAACGAAAAGATTATCTGACCTGCCCTCTATCTGTTCTGCTTCTTTTTGGGAATACACAGTGCCTTCATAAATTATAACTTTCAATCCAGATGTAAGTGAGCTATAATAGTGCAACTAGCATAAATATTATGGTTCATGGTATTTTAGCCTATAAACATAATGGTACATTTTGATACACACTTTGCCGCATGATTCTTTGTCTTTTTTCAAGTTTACTAGAACCACAGGTGTATGCAGGCATCCTGCTGCTTACTGAACAAATGAGAAATCATACATATGAATGTGAAAGAAAATATATTTATATAGGGAGAGTGAGCAATGGCTCACATGGAGGCAGTGTTTGTTGTGGTATAAAAAGGCCAATAATCTCATTAAAAAAACTGCATCCAATGCAGTGAATGGTTTTGATATCTTAAAGTCAACACAATATGGTTTAATACTTTCAATACTTTGACTTTAAGCTATTCATTGAAAAGCCATGCAGATTTCAGGTTATGAATGCACATTTCAAATCACATACATTTAATGCCACCACCATTCATCTATAAACCAAAGAAACTTACTGTATTTACTTAACATCGTTTTCATCAACTTTCATGTTTTTTCACAGACAGTTTAAAACTACTTTAAAGAGAATGTACTTTGTGAGATGTTTAAAAGACTTGAATGAATGCCTTTTTAACAATAATTTATGTAGCCTATAATTTATTTCTCGAGCTGCTCCTTGTCTTTTCATTGTTGTAGCAAAATACAACACACTGAGGATTTCACTTGGCCAAACTGCACATTGACAGTGTGTTAATAGCTGGTGTTGATGTGGCTAATAGATGAAATTTGGAACTCACAGAATTTAGATGGATTTCATTTTGACATTTGAGGTGTATCAATGGACCAAAAGAAGAGGATTCATAGTAACAGCATTTTTTTTTCTTTAAGATCTTTTCTTTTGTGTGATTACTTGTATATGTTTTTTTTATTTTTGAGCCCCCCCCACACATATCTTTTTATATTTATAGTATAACTTGTTTATTGTCAAATGTGAATGTTTGTGAAATGGAACAATTGTAAGGAACGTTTTTATGCCTTCTATGTAAACAAATTTATTATATTCTACTTGCATTCCTGGTCTTTTTCGGTTCTGATATGAAGTGAGTTTTGACATATAGGAAGGGCTTAATGGTAGACATTAACAATATGGGATGTATTTGATTTAATTTTAAATGGACAAATCTAATATATAATATACGATTAATCTATACAACAATACAAAAATATAGACTGTGACAGGAGTAAGGGAACTGTATGTTTAGTGTAACTGAAGTATGTGGTTCATCAGCACTGCCTAATGTTAACCACCAGATGGTATCGGTTCACTAACATAAGAACATTTGAACATCTGACTAATTCTACCAGATATACCATTACTGTAAATAATGTTTTGTAAAACTGAGTTTCTCTGAAACATTAATGATACCATGCCAGTTTTAATTACTGTAAAACCCTTTAAATATAGAAAAAACCTTAAAATTGTCTTTGGCTATTTTTGATTATTTTTAATTAGTTTCTAGATGAAAATGAAATAAAAGAAAACAAAGATAAAAGGACATAACCAAACACTTAGGGTGCCTGTGAGGTTGTTGTTGTTTTTACTTTTATTTTAATGGTTTCAGTGGTGAAGTTAAACTTCAGAACATAGATCGTTTTGTAGTCAAGACCACCTAATACGAGACCAAGTTGAGACCAAAACCAAGACCAATGTGTGTTGAGACCAAGGCAAGACCAAGACCGGACCAGCACTACTCAAATTCATCTGGAAGATCCACATTTAATTCTGACCCTGCATGACAGTATAAATCATTGGTTCTCAGCCAGGGGGCTGGGGCCCACTAGGGGGGCCTCAACAAACTTCCAAAGGTGCCTTAAGATGACTTATTTAAAATGATTTTAAATAAGACAAAACAATCATTAAGATAAACTAAAACAACAAAAACAAAACATTTAAGATATTTCTTAATATTTGGTTATTTTTTATAATGAATAGGCCTATACATCTTTCTAGTCATGCTAAATCTAGCGTAGCATTAGTTCTGGCAGGTCACGTTAGTCAAGCTCGCATCAGCTGACTCTCAGCTGATCCCCATCTACCTATAGGAATACGACACCTATCTAAGCATTCATATATAAGGTCCCTCAGTATGATCAGCAGTTTTCGCATTTGCTCAATAGCTTATTACCCTCCTCTATCCCCAACTCCTCTGTCAGTCAGGATTCAGCCTTCTGATTCTCCTTTGAATCAGACTAATTTTAAAATGTGTACATAACATTATTGAACTTTAATGATATCTGCAATAAATTTATGTTGGTTCTGTTCTGTTTACCCTGGGGGGTTATTGCTGCTCTCCCTGCTCTCATCCATGCTAGGCTGCATGGATGCGCAGGGAGTTCTTGCCCAGAACAGAACCATACCGCCAATCCAAACTGTATGCTAATTGTCAATCATCTTTGACGATAGTGGTCCTGACAGAAATACTAAAATATTTTCGGTGAGTGGAGGAGGGGGCCTTCAAATATTGTTGTGAACAATAGGGGGACCTCAAGTCAAACATTGAGCAAACATTGAGCATGTTGTAGGTTGTGTGCTCCTCCCTGCCCAAAGATAATGGTATATCACGAGTGGGGACACACACAGCCTGTGCGTGGTTTGCTGTGCGATTGCGGTCCCGCTGCTGCTGAGGCACGGCGGCGACTGAGAATGCGGAGATCGCTCATGATCTAGGAGACGGGTTGGAGACGGCTCTTCCTATCTCCACCCGTGTTCGCTAGATTTAGAGCTCGTTTGTTTGTCAAGGAGATTGATGTTGATCGTGTGACTGAATGGCTCGCGCAGCGCATATATTACATAATTTCGTTTTTTGATGTGAATCTTACTACACTAGACCGTATTTACTCGTCTGGTTGTTTGATTGCATTTAATTCTGAGGAATAAAATGAAGTATTTGTCTGACTATGAGAAGTTAGATATACAGGGGCTCTGGGGATATAAATTTATTGAGTGAGAGCACACGTTAACCTCTCTTCCTTTGAGGAGGTTGAGGCAGTTTGCAGGGGCTGCTGGGCGGAGCAGTCCCAACCCACCGTGTTCCAGCCCCTCATTCTGGGGGCCTCACTTCTCGTACTCCGCAGAGTCTAGAGTCAGAGTGGAGCTCCCAGGCCGAAGGCTTCTAGCAGAAGGCGGGTCTGCGGACCGTCATTCTCGCTGGATAGTCTTCATCGTAAATGTCCTGACGCCTAAGGCCTAGGACTTTTTGAGGGCCAACTCCCTCTGGGGAAGAGCGATGTACACCACATTACACGGTGCCCGTCTCTCCTCAGTGCCCTCAGGAGGTCGGTCGGCCAACCCTGCCGTGTTCCAGGGCGCAGCGGTCTCCGGC